CGAAAGAATGAAGGGTCAGAATGTAATAAAGATTAATTATGCACACCACACACACACACACATATATATATTTGCGGGGGGGGGGTGGCGAAAAAAAATCCCCCTCCCGAAAAAAATCCTGGCTACGCCCACGATATATATATATATATATATATATATATGACATATTCATTTATATATCATGGGCGTAGCCGGGGGAGTGGGTAGAATTTTGTGACTTATTTTTCTTTACTTTCGTTTATTGTAGATGAAATTTTAATCTTTAACCATCACTTGCCCAAGCCCCCTTTGGGTGGTGTGGGGGGTTGAGTTAAAAAAAAACACTCCTTCTTGAATAAAACAAAAACTCAAGCAAACGACCGTACGTCCCCAAAGTCAATGTGAGTAGCCAAGGGAGATTTTTAGTTTAACCACCTTCCCGTCAGAGTTGTTTTTTGTATGTTAAAGCTCCCTCTTCAATATTAAACTAAAGCAAGCTACAAATACTCAATTCTATGAGCGTAGCCAAAAGGGGGGAGGTGATTATAAGACCCCTCTCCAGAGGGTTTTCGAGTTTAAAACACACCTACAAAAGAGTTTTGATGTTAAAACCCCCTTTTTCAATATTAAAGAAAAGTGAAATAAAGAAAAAAAATCTAAACCAAACTATAGTGAGCAAAATCCATGAACGTAGCAAAGAGGGTTTTGAGGTTAACCCCCATTTCCAACCAAAGGAAAAAGCAAAGCTAAAAATTACTAAATTCTACGAGTGTAGCCGAGGGGGGGGGGGAGGTTTAAAAACCCTTTCTTCGATATTATTGAAATAAAGTCACCAAATTCTACAAGCGCAGCCTAATGGGGTTTGATTAAAAAAAACAACAACCTCCAGTTGATTTCGAGTTTAAAACTCCCAACTTTTCGATAAAAAATCTAAACCAAACTAAGTGAGCAAAATCCATGAGCGTAGTAAAGAAGGTTTTGAGGTTAACCCCCATTTCCAACAAAAGGAAAACGCAAAGCTAAAATGACTAAATTCTATGAGTGTAGCCTAGATCCGGGGTCGGCAACCTGTGACTCGCGAGCCCCATGCGGCTCTTTGGATGTGAAGCTGCGGCTCTTTAGTTCCATACGCAAATATTATTTATTTTATTGAAACAATTTTCAAAATAGTTCTGAATCGTTTAACGAATAATAGGCACCGATTCTATCTCTCAGCCTTATACCACCCCCAATACACGCGTCGTCAGTCGTCGGAAGCTCTCGAATGACGCCGACGTCGGGTGTTTCTATGTAAGTTTTTATTCTCTTTCGACGCAAGACGAAACGGCATCTTCCCTACGTGCTTTGGCTGTGACGTATAGTTTGTTGTTTCAAGTAAGTGGGTTAGAAGCGAATGATCTTCTCAAAGTTAGAAGCAATCTACATGCAATGCTTATCTGGCAAGATTTGCGATACCAACAGAAATTGCACAAAAAGGCAAACCATTTTCAGATGGTGAGTATGTCAAAGACTTCTTCCTACGTGCATCTGAAGAAAAAAAAACCCAGAAACCTTGAAAAAAAAAATCACAGATATGCCAATATCGATAAAACAGTACAAGATAGAATAGCTAAAATATCTTCAAAAATAACATATTTGCGGGTGGAAAATATTCAACTTTCTTCTGCCTTATCACTTGCTAGTCTTACGATATAAAAGGCACGGCACAAATTGCCCATTTTGTCAGGTAAATGTCTTCCCTAGGTCCAAAAAGAAGATCTTCCAGGATTGCTACTCTCATGACAAACTAGAGGGGAAGATAGAGCGAATGCCATGCAAAAATGCCTTGAAGACAATAAGATCGAGTTAAATAAAATCGTTTAAACAGCAACTGATGGAGCCAGAAGTATGCCAGGAAAAATTAAGGAGCCACAACGATTTTTCGAGCCAAATAAACCACCGAATTCTTACATTTCACATACACCAAGAAGCGCTTTGTGCCCAAACATTTTCAGCCGAAGTTGTTCAGGTTGAACATTTGATAATCAAGATTGTAAACATCATCTTATCAAAAGCACTCTACCATCTTCAGTTTAAAGAGCTCTTTAACGAGATGGAGACACAGTATTTCGACATCCTTCTTTGCAATAAAGTGCGATGGCTTGAAACGTTTTGCTTTGTGCTTGAATGAAATAAATACATTCCTAAATGAAAAAAGCATTAGTCACTCTGAATTAGAGAACGACTAATCGTTCGAGCAAGTGTTATATTCAGATATAAATAAAAGTACAGTAAGAAGTCAACTAACAAATGAACATTTAGAGTCGTGTTTAAAACTAAAAAGTCATGAGCCAAATGTATCCAAACTTTCTAAAACCTTGCAAAGCCAACCTCCCATTGAATTTGTTTGCTCAATTGTTTGTTATTAAAGTACAAGCTAGTGTTGTAAGTAAATGTTTAACTGCTTTAGTTGTTACCGAAAGAAAAAAAATGTAATAAAACCATATATATATATATTATCTAATTTGGTGTGAAAAACACGTATATATGAATTATATACGCTAAAGACGCTATTAGTTTTGTGTGGAATGTCTGTACGTCCGTCCGTTCGTCACGTTTAGATCTCGTAAAATAGAAAAGATATTAAAAATCCGACATCATAATATTTTAGACCTTTCAAAGTTCTGATGCAACGGCTACTTTTTTCTTTTCTGAAAGTAAATAATTTAATTTTTAAAATAAACTATGCAAGCAGTTTTTTAAAATAAAAATACATTTTTACAATAGTAACAAACACGGGAGGCTATTTAGTAAGGGAGATGACCGTTTAATATATGTTTTAAAAAATATGGAAACGGTTTTAGATTTTTTGTCCAATTTTTTTTTTACAAATGTTTTGCTAAGTTATGTAAGTTCTGTCATACTAACTACTACATTTACACACAAAAAATGGGTACTATTTTTTTCCAAGAGAAAAAAATCTATTTCATTTGTATATAAGTGGAATATAATTTAAAACAACAATTGATAAGTAGTCTTTCATATTATCGAGTGAACTGCAGGGTAGCAATGCATCTATAAAACACTTAACTAAGGATTTTTAACTTATTACCTTATTTACGAAATGTTTTTTTTTTTTAATGAGGCTTTGAATAAGAGATTGACTCTATACAAAACAATTAGATCAATAAGATAATCATTATAAGAAATCAGGCCAGGTTCACATCTAACTTCACCTTCCCTTTCACCCATCTCTTGGTCTGCTGGACCGTTGGGGTGATTTGTGATTTTGGGCACATCGGCACAATTTAGGCCATGTCGTGCCTGCAGTCCCTCAAGGGCCACTCTCCCTCCACACAACAAGGGCCAAATTCCATACAGTCAAATCATTAAAATCAAGGTCTATTCACAGTTAAAATAGTAGAGGTAGTAAAAATTTAATAATTTGGTAAAAATTTAATGTAAATAGTACATGTTTACAAATTCATAAATCAGATCTTCGTAGACAACCCCACTTCGCGGATAAAGCCCAGTACCTTCCCAGGGTCGACATTATTGAATAGTGTTTTTAAATTAGTGGCTCTAAAATATTTTTCCCTGACATTCTGGTATCTGGGGCAGTCGATGAGGATATGTTCCACGGTGAGGCGAGAGTCACAATACTCACAAAGTGGGGGCTCTTCTTTCTTCAGCACAAAAGAGTGCGTGATGTAGGTGTGGCCAATCCTTTGGGGCACCACACAAGATCTGTCAACCTTCTTTCTCCATTCTTCTGTCATTTGCCTTTGTTAGAATTTCATTCTGATATTTTTTCTGAAAATATTGTAACTTGCCTGGGTGGATCGGGGGCCGATTTTGAGTTTGTGTTTCCACACAAACTGTCTTTGTAACCTTGTTTTGATTTGTTTCCAAGGCTGCATCAGCGATCAGATTAATTACTTCATTTTGATTTATTTCCGTAGTAATAATTATGTTTTTTTTTTCGTTTTTTATAGCCTACGTCTTATTTGATCGTTTAGGACAGTGTCCATTGTTTTGTCAAAACAGTTCTCTTTACTTCCTTTAACCGACTTTACAGCTTAGTTCATGCGGTGATAACACTGGGCACGTTTTTCTAAACGCTATTCCTTCTGTCAGCTTGTTTTTTGTTGAGATCTGAGAAATATCGACTGCAAAAACAAAAATACAGTATTTTTATGGTTTGAACAAAGCAGCCAACAATCTGAGGGCTCACCACTTTATAACTTCCTAAAAAATTCTACAGAAAAATATTGTTTCTCATAACTTTCATACAGATAATTGTTTTTCAGAATCACGAAATGTTTTTTTTTTCGACCACGCCAACACGTTCTCTATTGCTAATTGAAGATGGTCATACACCTGGATCTTTTCAATCGCTGGTCGCCCACTGTTACGGTATACAGATGTATGCAAACGCGACATGAAGTTGAAAGTCGACACTAGCAGCTGGGAAAAAGTAGCACTGGATAGAACCACATGAAGAAAGAGCATAAAGGAAGAGTCTCGGATTGCAGATGTCATACACAACAGAAGCAGAAAGAAGGGTGAAAATGCAACGGCGCCTGGTGATTACATATGCCCAACCTGCGACCGCAGCTGTGTATCAAGGATTGGCCTCTTTAGTCACACAAGAAGTTGCAAAAGGAAAAGATCGCCTCTCGAGACGTAAATGCCACACTGATTTTCTGGCCCGCCAAATTTTTTTCTTTTAACTTTTTAGACCGCTCCTGAAAAAGTTTGCTTATCACGTATTATAAAGCCTACACTCACAGACAATTCTGAAGTCTAGCTCACATAATGTCCCTTTATTTCATATTTTGAAAAGTCTGAGAAAGAAGCATCAAATGAAAAACCTAAATCTTTGGCCCGATAGTCTAGCCCAAAGGATAAAGTATGTTTGCTTGGCTCATCCCATGGAATAGCCTCCCTTGGACTTCTCCAACGAAGTGGAAGAAACAAAAGCCTATGAATGAACTTGCATCTACTGTCTCTCCAGATATACACTAACAAGGAAAGACAATGTTGATTGTATAGATATATTTATACTACATCATTGTAGTTAGTGTAAGCAGAGTATCTTCAATATTTCAATGTATTCCTGTCTAGATTAATTTTGAACATTATACATTCAGAACAAATAATACATAAATACATAATGCATAAATACTTTCAAATAGTAGCAATTACAGTGATATACGTCAATATAAATCTAGACCGCAGGACACTAAACTGTTTCATTATTATCTGGTCGTATTACAAGGATCTCTACCGCAGAGGATAACTTAGGACGAACTAGAGTCAGTGAGCAAAAACTGCCAATTTGTCTCACTGCATCCAAGAAAGGATGCAGAGAGATTCAGTCAAATAAAAAAGCAGCATCTATTTATAAACAAAGTAATTCATTGAAGAAAATAAAATTAAGCTTGTTTACTGATGTAGTAGTGGAAAAAAAGAATATCGTTTAATTAAAAAAATTCTAACAATAAGACAGGATTTTAAAAAAATCTATTGTAAAAAAACCCATTTAATCCTTTTTATACAGTTCATCGATTGTCGCCGCATCTATTTCCTTTCAGTCTAAATAGATTCAGTTGACGACCAAGTGTCGGTTGGTGTGACTATCGTTGGGATTAATACTCATAAAGACATACAGAATTGAGGTGTTAGTTTGATTGGTATTTTTGGCAAAACACAACTTTAGTGTTAGGTCCAATATTTTGTACAAAAAGTGATACAAATCAGTATAGATGTACATGAGTTATAGTAGCTTTATACCATTCTAATTGATAGTATAGGTCCTAAAAGATTTACAAGCGTGAAAATTTAAAATAAAAATTGTCTTTTTATATTGTAAAATTTTTGTGGTTTGATATTCTTTTTGTAATAAATCCATATAGTAAAATAATTGATTTTGGTATTTATCCTTATGGATATTTTGATTTTTCATGGATTTATTGTGGCCATTGATACCCCACTAAAAACATTGACATTATCAACACTTTAAGAATAAAGAGCTGAAAAGACAGGTGTTACAATTTCGTACAAATTATTTTTGATGTTTATAAGTTTATGGCGATACATAATTTGTATATTAACATGTTCATTTCATGCTCTGAAAATCTTCTTTATCTGCATCAATGCGATCATTTCAGATCAAATGACCGGACTGTTCAGATCAAATGACCGGACTGTTCAGCCTAGTAAAAAGCTAACATTTACTTTTTGACATGCATAGTAAAAAGTTTAAAACAAAAGTGACAACAAAGTGAGCATTACAATGAGCATTCTTCATATCTAGGTAACAAATTGTCTCTATAAAACTGTTAGTAGATTTTCAAATATTTCCATTCAAGCCATGTTCATTGATGCTGCGAGATCTTCCGAAATTCATACCCGACTGATTAGCACCTTTGTTGGTTCCCATTTGAAGACCAATCACTGACTGTCCTGCGTTTAAAGTTTCAGGGCTAAAGTTACGAGGATTTTCATCAGCTTCTTTAACTCCTAAAGAAGGTCCATTATATCCAACCTTGGGTGCCTAAAGAAAAACAAGATAACATTTTATTTGGAGTTTGCGTTACACAAAATTTTATAATCAGCAGCACACAATGTAAGTAGGACTAGGAAATGAAAGCAGCACACAATGTAAGTAGGACTAGGAAATGGGAGCAGCACACAATGTAAGTAGGACTAGGAAATGGGAGCAGCACACAATGTAAGTAGGACTAGGAAATGGCAGCAGCACACAATGTAAGTAGGACTAGGAAATGGGAGCAGCACACAATGTAAGTAGGACTAGGAAATGGGAGCAGCACACAATGTAAGTAGGACTAGGAAATGGCAGCAGCACACAATGTAAGTAGGACTAGGAAATGGGAGCAGCACACAATGTAAGTGGGACTGGGAAATGGCAGCAGCACACAATGTAAGTAGGACTAGGAAATGGGAGCAGCACACAATGTAAGTAGGACTGGGCAATAGGAGCAGCACACAATGTAAGTAGGACTAGGAAATGGGAGCAGCACACAATGTAAGTAGGACTAGGAAATGGGAGCAGCACACAGTGTAAGTAGGACTGGGCAATAGGAACAGCACACAATGTAAGTAGGACTGGGAAATGGGAGCAGCACACAATGTAAGTAGGACTGGGCAATAGGAACAGCACACAATGTAAGTAGGACTAGGAAATGGGAGCAGCACACAATGTAAGTGGGACTGGGAAATGGGAGCAGCACACAATGTAAGTAGGACTGGGAAATGGGAGCAGCACACAATGTAAGTAGGACTGGGCAATAGGAGCAGCACACAATGTAAGTAGGACTGGGAAATGGGAGCAGCACACAATGTAAGTAGGACTGGGAAATGGGAGCAGCACACAATGTAAGTAGGACTGGGCAAAAGGAGCAGCACACAATGTAAGTAGGACTGGGCAATAGGAGCAGCACACAATGTAAGTAGGACTGGGCAATAGGAGCAGCACACAATGTAAGTAGGACTAGGAAATGGGAGCAGCACACAATGTAAGTAGGACTAGGAAATGGGAGCAGCACACAATGTAAGTAGGACTGGGCAATAGGAACAGCACACAATGTAAGTAGGACTGGGAAATGGGAGCAGCACACAATGTAAGTAGGACTGGGCAATAGGAACAGCACACAATGTAAGTAGGACTGGGCAATAGGAGCAGCACACAATGTAAGTAGGACTGGGCAATAGGAGCAGCACACAATGTAAGTAGGACTACGAAATGGGAGCAGCACACAATGTAAGTAGGACTGGGAAATGGGAGCAGCACACAATGTAAGTAGGACTGGGCAATAGGAGCAGCACACAATGTAAGTAGGACTGGGCAATAGGAGCAGCACACAATGTAAGTAGGACTGGGAAATGGGAGCAGCACACAATGTAAGTAGGACTAGGAAATGGGAGCAGCACACAATGTAAGTAGGACTGGGCAATAGAAACAGCACACAATGTAAGTAGGACTGGGAAATGGGAGCAGCACACAATGTAAGTAGGACTGGGCAATAGGAACAGCACACAATGTAAGTAGGACTGGGCAATAGGAGCAGCACACAATGTAAGTAGGACTGGGCAATAGGAGCAGCACACAATGTAAGTAGGACTGGGCAATAGGAGCAGCACACAATGTAAGTAGGACTGGGCAATAGGAGCAGCACACAATGTAAGTAGGACTACGAAATGGGAGCAGCACACAATGTAAGTAGGACTGGGCAATAGGAGCAGCACACAATGTAAGTAGGACTGGGCAATAGGAGCAGCACACAATGTAAGTAGGACTGGGCAATAGGAGCAGCACACAATGTAAGTAGGACTGGGCAATAGGAGCAGCACACAATGTAAGTAGGACTGGGCAATAGGAGCAGCACACAATGTAAGTAGGACTGGGCAATAGGAGCAGCACACAATGTAAGTAGGACTGGGCAATAGGAGCAGCACACAATGTAAGTAGGACTGGGCAATAGGAGCAGCACACAATGTAAGTAGGACTGGGAAATGGGAGCAGCACACAATGTAAGTAGGACTAGGAAATGGGAGCAGCACACAATGTAAGTAGGACTGGGAAATGGGAGCAGCACACAATGTAAGTAGGACTGGGAAATGGGAGCAGCACACAATGTAAGTAGGACTGGGCAATAGGAGCAGCACACAATGTAAGTAGGACTGGGCAATAGGAGCAGCACACAATGTAAGTAAGACTATGTAATGGGAGCAGTATACAATGTAAGTAGGACTGGGAAATAGGAGCAGCACACAATGTAAGTAGGATTAGGTAAGAGATGAAACTTCATTGAATTATTTCATTTCTTAGACATTTCGTTTTTAATTCATTAATATGCTACTCAAGTAAACAAAAATAATAATGCCAAATACAACTTGTGTTTGTCCTTTAAAGAAAGCCCACTTCCTTTGTAAGCATGTAACGCAGTGGATATCTATATACAAATAAATAACGTTAAAATATATCTTGCTCTAAAACTATATGTCTGATGTGCATACGTTTGGGTATCTATAGACACTTTATTTGAAAGTGTGAACCAAATAGGACTAGCAATGCAAAACAAACGTATGATCTTAAAATTACCCCCCCCCCCCTCCAGTTATGAGTGGACAGAACAATGACTATCGGGCATTACTTCAACCATTGTGCACACTATGTTTAACAGTTCAACTGTACTAAGCACACACTTTACAATACCTTACAGCTGTGCTCAAACAAGATTTGTACGTGTTTTTGTTCACAGCATATTACATTGGTTGCTCCTGCAGCTCAGTAGGTAGAGGACAATTAATAGGACAATTAACTATGTCCTTCAAGGTAGTCCTCAAGGTATTCTGGTCTTCAAGCCATGCGATCAAAGTGCAACGTTAGTCTTGTCATTTATCTACTCCTCACTGATCTCAACAATTGATGGACACAGAGCAGTGATGCCAGTGACACAGAGCAGTGACGCCAATGATACAGAGCAGTGACGCCAGTAGTAGTGGTCAGGAATAAAAGGTTGACTCTTCACCAACTCCTCTATGGCCAGGAATAAAAGGTTGACTCTTCACCAACTACACTATGGTCAGGAATAAAAGGTTGACTCTTCACCAACTCCACTATGGCCAGGAATAAAAGGTTGACTCTTTAATGATTTAATGATGCACCCCTCGTATGACCAGAAGACTGGACATCTTTAAATGTAATCAATGCGCCATTCGTTCGGCAGAGTTGATAAATGCAGAGTGTCTAAAAAGAGGAAAAGATTTGCCTCTGTGGCTATGAGTGAAAGATTGGCTCTTCAACAACCCCTCTGTAGAAGGTCACTCATTAACTTGAGCTAGGGGATCATCTAATCACATCGCAGTGTCCAGATCCTTGAGACTTACCAAGTCCACCTGTCTTGCCGACGCAGGAGGCCGATCACCACGAGTTTACCCCTACTCTGTACTGTGAGAGGGTCGCCACGTAGCATTAGAACTCCGCGAGGAACAGCGCGCCGGTCTGGACTTAGCCCGCCTTTGTTCCTTACTACGTGCCATGTAGCCTGGAAGTGTACTTTAGGTTTCAGTCTTATTGAAGTTTGCCCCACTACATCCTTGTCCACAACGGTGACACTCCGGAGTCTGTAATGTACCGGAAGTGATGTTGACCCAAAGCGTTGACAACCTTCAATGTATTCGAAGCGATGCACTGAACATAACAAACAAAAAGGTGAACACTAAAACAAAGCTAAAGGGCACTAAAGGTCAATATAAGGTCACTTTAGTATGGCAGATTGTCGGATTAATAAGTTCTAAGGAAATCACTTTTTGGAATGTTCAAGGTAAAGAAACGAACAATTATTGTTTTGATTTTAAACATTTTTGTGTTCATAAACCAACAACTTCGTATTGCAAAGTATTCCAGATCATTCTGAAGGCGACCTACTTGAAGGCGTCTAGTTCAGGTATTGCTGACTCCAGTGACACTGACAGTGGCTTCAAAGCAAGGCAACAAAAAAAAAAGTCTTATGTCTATTGAAGATCCTCAGACCCTAGTAACAAGGCCACGCCAGATATGTTCTCTATGGAGTTGTCTATGCTCCATTCTACCTCTATATTGCTAATTTTTACAGCACAAAATCAATGAGGGGGGGGGGGGTCAAATAGTTGTTACATTTTTTTTTAAAATCAATGTATGCTCCTCACTACTGAGTTCAGTATCGCTCAAGAAAAGTGCATACAACAAAAGCAATTCATTTTGAGCCAAAGCTATTTGGTCGTCGTTGTAGATGTAGGTCACTTTACATCCGGCTAACATGAGAATATTTTGTTTTGTTTCCTACAGAAATACTTCATTAGTCTTATTTTGTTCTGAGTGTATGTCATATTAGGTTTGTGTAGATATGAACAAAATAATATGATAAATATATTTGCCTTTTTCGTGTTACCTTTCGTCCCAGAGCGTAAATACAATTGACAACTTGAACCATATTGATTTTATCATAAAGGTCAACAGTTTGAAACAGATCTGTTTTGGAAACGCCCAGTTTCTCACAGGCATCTAAGAAATTACTAATGTTTTCCATCTGCAGAAACGGCATCTTTGAGGTGTTCATTTTTTTGGTCATTACACCTGGCTTAATTTTATTAATTAATCTGAAAAGTATATGGAAAAACAATAAAAGAATAAAAGAAAAAAAAAGACCT